ACTTGACTGATTTTTATAAAAAAACAATCAAATTCTTTCTTTCTTTCTTTTTATTGTAATAGACATTGTTGGATTTTTGACATTTTAAAACGAGTGAAATTGTTAATTCCAAGAATATGTATTTAAAAGTGTCGAATGTTTTGATACCTTTAAGCAGAAATGACAAAAAGTTTGCCCTAAGAAAATTGAGAGAACATGGGAAAATTTTCGTTGTTGGAGGGGTTAGAAAGGAGGAAGCTCAGTTATGGAGGTTACCTCTATGCCTTCGGTGGTTGGACGGGATCGGTCGTATTGAAAGATATGACCCTATTACAGATGAGTGGAGATTATTAGAGTCAAATATGCTAGAAGCTAGATCCAAGTAAGTACAATAACCATTTTCAAATTAGATGTACTGACTGATAGTGTGAACTACTGATAATAATGAGAGAAAATGTAGCAGTGGCCTGTACTGTTTTTTTTTTCTTCCTTTTTTCTTTTACAGCTATATATACTAGAACATCGAGGTCTTATTTACATTGTTGGTGGATTTCATTTCACCCTCCTGCATGATCTTCTCTCATACAATCCTGTGACTGGGGAGTGGAAGAATCTAGCACCAATGCTAGGTCCACCACCACATTAGACGATAGGTGTTGCAGTTTTGGATAACTTTTTGTATGAGTAGGTGGTGGTATTCGGGACAATTATGAGGAAAAACAATGGAAAGATATTCTTTTGAACAGGTAAGATTATTTACCAGTTTATTAATATACAAGATTTGAATATTTACCAGTGCAGTACTTATGAATTCTTATTATTATATACAAGATTTGAATTACAATATTGTAGTTAGATGTGAAAGAATTTTTGTAATACTGTATACAAATGGTTTAAGTGTTCATCAATGTATTTTGGTCAAATATCTCAACAGTTGTTGCCACAAATTTTCTGTTATATGTCAAGGGGGTAACTATAAAATGGTAAGGAAGAACGAAAACAGAATGATTAATGAAAATGTGATAATATTTATTAATATTCCTACATATTGTTTTAACCTTAAAACTATTTTTTTTTAGGTATCTATCACTAATGTGAAGTATTTCGACCCTAAGAAGAACAAGTGGATAAACTGTGCATCACTCCCAGAGGGTCGGTCTAATGCTAGAGCAGTCGCAATTTGACTCAAAACTTCAACCTTCAAGAGTGATATTACCTACCCCTACCCTATATACTACTGTCCTCCTCCTCCTCCTCCTCCTCCTCCTCCTCCTTCACTCTCTTTAAAATAAAAAAGCTTCCAATTATCACAAAATTCGCATTTTAAGTTCTTCAGGAGGTAGTAACTGATTGGGTATGAAAATTATCCCTCTCTCATATCACCCCCATATATATTACAATTATTAGTTTTTCTTAGTTATATATGAGGATGGCGGCGGCACGTGTGGAGCTCTCTGATCAAGGAGAGGGGGAGTGTAATTATCCTTATCCGAACAACCTGCTAGAGAACTTAAATTCACTCTGGCAGTTACAAAAGTTCTGTGATGTAGAAATATCAGTTGATGGATCAGTTGTGAAGGTGAGAAAACATTATTTTAACTTTTTTAGTATTTATTGTCAAATAATTGAAAAAACTATCTTGTTGTCTCTCTGTATATGTATACAACCAACTATATTATTATTCCAGGCTCACCGTGTAATACTCTCGGCGGGAAGAAATTATTTTAAGGCCATGTTTACCTGTGGATTAACTGAGAAAAACAACACATTCAATAGAAATGAAGTCTATGAAATTTAATATATTAAATCAGATCATCGGATTCATATATACTGGTAAGGTAACATTTGAAGTTTTCATATTTATGAAAAAAAAGGGTATTTTTATTTTGTTATTATTTTTATCTTAATCTTTAGGAAACATCGATGTAACAGCGAAAAACGTTCAAGAGTTAATAGTTGTTGCAAACATGCTGGTAGTTCCCCATGTTGTACGTGTTTGCACAGACTTTCTCAAGAGTGAACTTCATCCATCCAATGCTTTAGGAATTTACAGGTAACGAATTTTAATTTTGTAAAAAATTTTTATTCTTGTTCTGTTCTGTTTTAATTTGATTCTGATTCGATTCTAGAGACAGGGGTGTGTTCATTTTTATTTTTTTATTTTTTTTTTTTTACAGGTTTGCTAAGGCCCATTATTTAGTAAGCCTGCTGAATGGTTCGCGGGACTTCATCTTCTCCAATTTCGTAGAAGTAACAATGGAGCAAGAGTTTCTTGAGATTCCTAAAGAAACTCTACTGTATTTTTTGGAGTCAGAGTATCTTCATATTGACTCTGAGTTTCAGGTAAATATTAAATATTTTTCTTTTTATTTAATATTTATTTATCAAATTCAAAAATCTTTTTCTTTTGTTTATTGTAGCTCAATTTCTTTTTCTTTTGTTATATTGCAGGTATTCTCTGCTGCCATCAGATGGATTACACAAGAAATAACTGATAGACTTTGTTGTATTCTTGACATTTTAAAACAAGTGAAATTGTCTTTAATTTCAAGTAAACCAATAGAAAAATCATTTAATGAGTGCTCTGATATCAGATTGAAGGTTAACCTTAAACAGCAGACAAACTTGGCCAAAAAGGAAGCCTTGTATGTCCAGCCAAGAATTTGTACTCGAAAGAAAATTTATGTCATAGGTGGATCAAAGAAAGAATTCAATATAATATGGAATAGATCAGAGGAATATATACTTAAAAGTGTCGAATGTTTTGATACCTTTAGGCAGAACTGGCAAAAAGTTTGCCCCATGAAAATTGGGAGAATTTCGCCAGGAATAGAAGTCTTACATGAAAAAATTTTCGTTGTTGGAGGGGTTGGAGAGGAGATAGACGCTCAGATTTTGGCAGATAGCGAAGTTTATGATCCACAGGAAGATTATTGGACTGGAATATCTTCTATGGTGATCCCACGGTGTGATTTTGGATTATGCGCTCATGGAGGTTATCTCTATTACTTCGGTGGTTGGACGGAATCAATGGAAATAGAAAAAAATATTGAAAGATATGACCCCATTACAAATGAGTGGAGATTATTAGAGTCAAATATGCCAGAAGCTAGATCCAAGTAAGTACAATAACCATTTGGATTTACTGACTAAAAGTGTGAATTACTAATAATAATGAGAAAATGTAGCAGTGGCCTGTACTGTTTTTTTCTTCCTTTTTTTTTTTACAGCATGGGTATAGTAGAACATCGAGGTCTTATTTACATTATTGGTGGATATACAGACACTTACAACCCCCTGCATGATCTTCTCTCATACAATCCTGTGACTGGGGAGTGGAAGAATCTAACACCAATGCAAGGTCCACCATCTAAGACGATAGGTGTTGCAGTTTTGGATAACTTTTTGTACGTAGTAGGTGATGGTAATCTGGAGGAAAAATCAATGAAAAGATATTCTTTTGAGCAGGTAAGATTATTTACCAGTGCTTATGAATTTTCTTCTTATTATATACAAGTTTAATATTGTAGCCAGGATGTGGAAGAATTTTTGTAATACTGTAGGAAAAGGGAGAAAAATTGTATAACCCAACCCCCCCCCCCCACTCTTCTTTTACCTTTTTTCTTTTACTTTCCCACCCACAGAACCAATGGTTTAAGTGTTCGTGTTCATCGTATTTGGGTCGAAGTAGCCCAGCAGTTGTTGCCACAAATTCTCTGTTGTATGTCATAGGCGGTTACTGGAGTGGTTTGAATGGAATTGGAATGGTAAGGAAGGAAGAATAAAAGAATGATTAATAAAAACTGATAATATTGATAATAATATTTATTAATATTCCTATATTTTCTTTATATTTTCTTTATACTAATTTATTTATTTATTTATTTTTATTTTTTTATTTATTTATTTTTTTTAGATTTCTCTCGCTAATGTGGAGTATTTCGACCCTAAGAATAACCGGTGGATAAGCTGTACACCACTCCCTGAAAGTCGGTCTGATGCTATAGCAGTCTCAATTTGACTACTCGAAACTTTGAAAACCTATATACTGATGTCCTCCTCCTCCCTCCTCCTTCTCCTCTCCTCCTCCTCCTCCTCCTCCTCCTCCTCCTCCTCCTTCATCCTCACTCATTCTTTTTTTAGTAAATTACTCATTTAAAAATAAAAAGCTATCAATCAAATGTATAGTTTTTTTACTACCCTATATGATATAAAATTGTATTATTCTTTGTAAACTCTACCCAATGGGGATTTCCTTACTAAATGAAAATTATAACTCCCTCCCTGTCTTCAGGAGGTAGTAAAAAAAAAAACTTCCAGCCAGTATAGTTTTTACAACCTATCCCAACATACTGAAAGAAAAGGAAGACCCCGACGAGGACGGAAACACCACCACCACGGGTATTACCAACTACCTGCTAGACTACATACATTTCCTGGTATAAAGAAGTCAACATTGCAAACTAGCCATTCGAGAAAACCAAATTACTCAATTTTTCGCGAGGCAGTTAACAGGCAACTCCTTAATCAGTAGCCAACTTATAATACTATTGGCAAACACTGCCTTAGTTGGACTTTTATAGGTTATCAACCCTTCTAACCATCTGTAATCACTTATATTAGGCAGTTTCGTCAACATTGACTCAAGTGTAATGAAATAAAATTTAATATATATATATATATATATATATATATATATATATATATATATATATATATATATATATATATATATATATATATATATATATATATACGGTCTCCTTGTTATTTTATTTGCCAATTGCTTATTTTTCCCATATCGTCTTATTTACAAACTTGTCTTAGATCATAATCAAGGTAAAACCCTTTGACGTCATTACTGCTTCAGTATGTGATAAGAAAACAATGCATGAAATAATTTTAATAGTGTTTATTTGGTTCGGCTAAAATAATAACCATGTGCATAAGAAATTAAATCTTTTCCATACATTAAAGGAATCGAATGTGCAAACAGCTAAGCCATAAGCGTAGTTTTCACAAATTAAAGGAAATTTGAACATTTCATCCGGAATACTTTATTGACCACCACGAAGCCTGAGAACCAAATGTAGTGTAGATTCTTTCTGGATGTTGTAGTCAGAAAGAGTTCGACAATCCTCCAACTGCTTACCAGCAAAGATCAATCTCTGCTGGTCTGGGGGGATGCCTTCCTTATCCTGAATTTTTGCCTTGACATTTTCAATGGTGTCTGAAGGTTCTACTTCTAGGGTAATGGTCTTTCCTGTAAGGGTTTTCACAAAGATCTGCATGATGTACTGCAAAACAATTCATTAGTAAAATTTTAGCCACAGTATATTTCTTAAATAATCTTAGAATTTAAATAGATCTAGGAGTTGTTGAGTATGTCATAGCAGGTAGCAAAACTAACCGTATATATAGCTTTGAACTACACCAATAGTTTGTGCACAAACTGTACAGTACGGGTAAATCTTGGCTTTAACCAAAGTAACTACATACCCCCCCCCCCCCACACCTATATACAGTATAGCAATAACATGTGCTCCACAGAATTAGGTGTAACCCAAGAAATGTTTGGTGGTCTGGTTTATTCATTTGCAGTCTATCTTCAGGTGTAACCTAGCTATGCATATACAAACATAGCATAATAAAATTAAATGCCTAGCATTTATGGGCTTCAGGCAGAAATGGCAGAAAGTTTGCCCCATGAAAATTGAGAGATGTGGGCCAGGAGTAGCAGTCTTACATATAGAAATTGAACCGGCAGATGATGAACTTTATTATCCTGATCCGCTTTTGGCAAATGGTGATGTTTATGATCCTCAGGAAGATAATTGGACCGGGATATCTTCTATGGTGCTCCCACGGTGTGATTTTGGATTATGCGCTCATGGAGGTTATCTCTATGCCTTTGGTGGTTTGACTGTCTTTAGTTGGAGGAGTGTGGCTGTAGTTTAGTTTTGTTACTGTTTGAAGAAGCAACGGAAGCACCACCACCACGGGTATTACCAGATATCACCACTGAAAGCAAAACTGACAACTGGTTAGTATTACATTAGTATCTGAAGATGGCGGCTGCACGTCTGGATCTCTCTCATCACGAGGAGGAGGAGGAATGTAAATCTTATCCGAACTACCTGCTACACTACATACATTTCCTCTGGCAGTCACAACAGTTATGTGATGTAGAAATATCAGCTAGTGGATCAGTTGTGAAGGTGAGTGAAACATTTACCTCCCACCCACCATTTACACCCATATCGGGGGAGGGAAACTTAACTACACCGCCCACACTCACCCGCCGCCGCCCTTACCGCCCAGGAGTAAGTGGAACATAACAAAGTCTATCCGAGTATGACACCTGAGTATGACACCGAATAGGACCAGTAGAAGAAATCTCACAACTCCCCTGCTCCCCTGACACAAAATTAGAGCTTGCTCCAACTCTCTTCAGGACCAGTGGAAGAAATCTCCCAATTCCCTTGCTCCCCTGAGACAAATAAAGAGCTTGCTCCAACTCTCTTCGCACGAGAGAATCAATGCTTCCTAGCAGTGGTTTGATTTTGGCTTGCTTCCTAGCAGTGGTTTGATTTTGGCTTACTTCCTAGCAGTGGTTTGATTTTGTTGTCTATTATTCTCTCAGTTGTCCATTATTCAAACTTAACAAAACCTATGCTATGACGACGACCCTTCACCAAGACTTTTACGTCCCCTTAATGTATGTACGAGTATAAAGGCAGTATGAACGAACGAACGAACTTGAAGGGGGTGCCTAATAAACTAGCCCCCTCGGGGACAAATTTTTCTGATGGGATTACATTTTATTCCACAGACTCACCGAGTAATACTGTCAGCGGGAAGCGAATATTTTAAGGCAATGTTTACGTGTGGATTAGCTGAGAAAACAACACAGTCAATAGAAATGAAGTCTATGAAACCCAATATATTAAAACTGCTCGTCGACTTCATATATACTGGTAAGGGAAAACATTTTAAGTTTTCATAGTGCTATACTATATGTAAAACAAAACGATAGTTTTTATTTGTTGTAAATAATTAATGATGAATGAAACTTTTATTTTTTTTCTAAATACTTTAGGAAACATCGAGATAACAGTGGAAAACGCACAGGAGTTAATTGTGGCTGCGAACATGCTGATAATGCCCCGTGCTGTATGTGTTTGTACAGACTTTCTCAAGAGCGAACTTCATCCATCCAATGCTTTAGGAATTTACCGGTACGTACAGTATAATAATTAATTATTTTCAACTGTTTATATGTATTTTTAGTAACTAATTCCATATTTATTTTTTTTTAAAAACAGGTTTGCTGAGGCCCATAATTTAGTAAGGTTGCTGCATGCTTCGCGGGACTTCATCTTCTCCAATTTCGTAGAAGTGACAATGGAGCAAGAATTTCTTGAGATTCCTAAAGTAATTCTACTGTATTTTCTTGAGTCAGAGTATCTTCATATTGACTCTGAGTTACAGGTAAAATTTAAATATTTTTTTTTTATTTAATATTACACCCACTTGAAAGTTTACCGACTGACTGACTTTTATTTAATATATTATTTACAAAAATTTTAACCCCAAACTATCAAATTTTTCTTTCTTTCTTTCTTTTTATTGTATTGCAGGTATTCTCTGCTGCCATCAGATGGATTACACAAGCACAAGATATAACTAAGGACATTGTTGTTGGAATTTTGACATTTTAAAACGAGTGAAATTGTCTATAATTCCAACTAAACTACTAGAAAAATCAATTAATGAGTGCTCTCATATCAATCTGAAGGTCTTCCTTGAAAACATACAGCAGCAGACAAAATTTTTGGACAAAAGGGAAGCCTTGTATGTCCTGCCAAGAATTTGTACTCGAAAGAAAATTTATGTCATAGGTGGAACAAAGAGAAAACTCTTTGCCCTCATGTTTAGATCAGATCCGTTTATATTTAAAAGTGTCGAATGTTTTGATACCTTTAGGCAGAAATGGCAAAAAGTTTGCCGCATGAAAATTGGGAAAATTTCGCCAGGAATAGCAGTCTTACATGGGAAAATTTTCGTTGTTGGAAGGGAGGTAGACATTCGTGAAGTTTATGAGCCGAAAGATGATCCGCTTTCGGCAAATGGTGAAGTTTATGATCCTCAGGAAGACAATTGGACTGGGATATCTTCTATGGTGATCCCACGGAGTGATTTTGGATTATGCGCTCATGGAGGTTATCTCTAGCCTTTGGTGGTTGGACTGCTGGTAGTTGGACGGAATCGGTCTGGCTGAGATCGTCAATATCCCCAAAGATTGAAAGATATGACCCTATTGAAGATAAGTGGAGATTATTAGAGTCAAATATGCCAGAAGCTAGATTCAAGTAAGTACAATAACCATTTTCAAATTGGATTTACTGACTGATAGTGTGAACTACTGATAATAATGTTCTCAATGTAGCAGTGGCCTGTACTGTTTTTTCTTCCTTTTTTCTTTTACAGCATGGGTATAGTAGAACATCAAGGTCTTATTTACATTGTTGGTGGATATACGGACACTTACGACCCCCTGCATGATCTTCTCTCATACAATCCTGTGACCTGGGAGTGGAAGTATCTAGCACCAATGATAGGTCGACCACATCGCCACGACGCGATGAGTGTTGCAGTTTTGGATAACTTTTTGTATGTAGTAGGTGGTATTCATGAGGAAAAATCAATGGAAAGATATTCTTTTGAACAGGTAAGATTATTTACCAGTGCAGTGCTTATGAGATTATATACAATAAGGTTTGAATTTCAATATTGTAGCCAGGATGTGGAAGAATTTTTGTAATACTGTAGTGAAAAGAGATAAAAAATTGTATAACCTCCCTCCCTTCCTTTTTAGTTTAAATACGTAACCGAAACGAAGCATACCG